AGGCAATCAAATAGGAAGTATTTTCTTCAATAGAAACAGAAAACAGTTAATAAAATCTAGAATCATTCATTTGGGAAAACTTTCTAAAATAGAAAAAATGTCATTAACATGTAGCAAAAAAAAACAGTGAGCATTATGTTTGATGATAAAACATTAAAAGCCTTTCCTTTATAATCAGGCACAAAACAAAAGGTTTGCTATCATAATTTCCACTTAACATTGACCTGAAGGTCTCAGCCATGCAGAGTAGCAAAAAGCATTATCTGTGATGACATGGCTGTATTCATACAAATTACAAAACAATACACCAGCCTGTTATTAGAACTAATGAGGTAAAAACTCTTTCATATACTATTAAATATTAATTAAAGTTTAAGAAAATATATAATTTACAATACACCATACAAAGCATGCTTGGTTTGGGAATAACTCGAACAAAAGATTTGTAAAAAGCTGGGCATGATGGTGCACGCCTTTAATACCAGCATTTGGGAGGCAAGGCAGGTAGATCTTTGTGAGCTAGAGTCCAGCCTGATCTACATAAGAGTTCGGGGTCAGTTGGGGCTACAGGGAGAGCCTGTCTCAAATAAACAACAAAAAGTTATGTAAAATCTGCACAGGAAGAACTCTAAAATCATATGGAGAGATGTGACATACAACGTAAGGAAGAAAAATATGCCAAACGTGTACATTCATTTTGTGTCGGGGTGAACATGTTAAACCGATTCTAAAATCTGTTTGCAGACCTAGTACAGAGCTATCTGAAGAAGAGCAAGGTGAAAGGCTTTGTTCTTCTGAATTTTGAGACAGATTGTAAAGTTCCAGCTATTTAAGGGAGTACAATATCATAAAGAGATCAGTAGACAAATGCTGCAAATAGGGAGGCTGAAACCAGGCCCGTGTGCTGCGCAGACCCTTGGTATTGTGTAAAGCTAAGCAGTAAGGAAAGAACGCCTCTGCAAATTTAAAAACATGCTAAATTCATCATTGGTCAGCTATACTTTCACATACTGTATAGCCATTAAAAAGAACGTTTAGCTGGGTGTTGTATCTCACATCTATAATCCTAGCACTCAGGATACTGAGGCAGGAGGATGTCCGTAAGTTCCAGACCAGCTTGGGCTGCTCAGTGAGCTCCAGACTAGCCTGGGCTACAGATTGTGAACCTGTCTAAAAGGTACCATTATCATTATTATTATCAAGTAGTATTAGTGTTAGTTTTGTGAACTTAGTGTGTTCCACAAATATTTAGGAGCCATTTATTGTGTGTCCATTACTGTCAAGATTTTCTTACAAAAATTTATGTTGTAAATAATTGAATTATCTCATGGGTGATGATGTGATTAGCTTCCATTTCACACATCATCAAAGTCCTTCCCTAACCACACCCTTTTATCTCTCTGATTCCTTCTCTCTTGCCTTTGTGTGACATGCACCCTGCTCTCTGCTGTCTGCTAATGCTCCCATCATGCCGTTCATCTCCTGCAACTGCTGGGCTGTAGCGACTGCTGTTCAGAAATTTCCACAGCAAATCAAGGTCCTTGTCAAATCATTCAAGGCATCTTTCCTGTGAGATTGTCACTGACCAACCTATTTAAAATCGGGACTCAATTACTGACCCCTGTATACCGCACATGATGCTTTCTCAGACCCTATATTTTATTTTACTAGTTAATTATTTTCTGAACTTCACATCATATAAATTCAGTAAGGCCAACAAAGTCTGCCTATTTTTGCTCACTGCAATTGCCTAACTAGAATGATACCTGTTATGTATTAGGAGTAAATATAATCTGTGTGCATGTGCATGTATGCGTGTGTGCATGTGTGTGCATTTTTGTGTGTGTGCATGTGTCTATGTCCATATGTGTCTGTGTGTTTGTGTCATTGTATATGTGTGTCTCTGTGTCTGTATGTTTCTCTGTGTATGTGGGAGGGGTGTCTGCATGTGCATTGTGTCTGTTTTATTTGTTTGTATGTTCATATGTCGATGGATTGCATAACCATACAAAGAAAGCTCAAAAGGATCCACAACAAAATGCTCCAGTAATTGTTTCTGGGGTGGGGCACTCTTCCAGTAGGAGAAGAAAAGAGAGACTTGCTCATTTTATTCTTTCTGTGTTGCTTGAATTATGTATTATAAAAGTTAAGTATCTTTAATGGCCCAGCAACCCATAGACAAATACATCAACTAGGATAGTAAATCCCAAAGCTTGAATATCCACAGCAAAGCAAAGGCAAACATAATCCTAGAACGCTAGCAGATAGAGGCAAACCATTCTAACCTCAGTGATGCCCCAGGAAACCATCCAAAACAACAGGCCATTAGTCTGTCCTGAGAACACACACACACACACACACACACACACACACAACAGGTATTCATTGGTTGCTGAGCAGACTAGTTAGAGAAGTTTAACTGAACCTGGGTGGATGTTCACATACTCCAACAGGCAGGGAAGGTGAAGGTCCTGGAGCAAATCTGAAAAGGGAAAACCAGTTACTGAATTCTCAGAGGTAATGGAAGGGAGCAGTTTTCCAGAAAGGTCTCACCCTGTGGAGAAACTGATGCATCTACAATCCAAACTGAGATAAGGAAAGACAAGAGAGCAATGCGGTGGGGGGGGGGGGACAACCAGAAGGGTGGGAGGAGGTGGGTCTCAGAACAGGACATATGGAACTGTTTCTAATAAAATAAAGTTCCTTGCTCTAGAAGATCTCTACTTCTCCTTGAAAGTCAAGAATATGAATTCCACATTCAAATGAGCAAGAAAAATAGACCATAGTTCAGTGACATGCACGAAAAAAGTAAAATAATGGCCCTATGATGAAAGTTTTCCAGACAGACGAGTCCATCAAAAGGATAAATTGTATTCTTACATTTCACATGAACTGAAGTTAAGAGAAGGACAGAGATGGGAAGGGGCAAAACAGACCATGATTCAGAAAACACAGAAATGAGGTGGATGGATCCAAGACAGGATGGGAATTAAAAGACATAATATTAGGAAAATAACGTAGAAGGGACAGAGCCCACAGCACAGAACACAGTACATGGGTAGCACTTCAAGAGGGAGAGGGTGAGAGCAGAGGCGACCTGTTTAAGGAAGAAATGGACAGAGATGCACGATCCAGCAGAGATGATGCTGCCGGCCTTCAAACAAAAGCAAGACAGCATGCTACAACTGACCCAAAGCAAACTGTATCCTTAGTGTTCTAATAACTAGAATGAAGACATCGTTTCTGAAAAATAAAATGGAATCACATATTAAAAGAACACTTTGCACATCCAGAAAAATTACCCAGAATAGCCAACCTGATAAATAGTTTAGAAAAATTACTTGATACTGAATAAACGTCCTTTAAGTAAGCAAAAGGATTTATTCGTCTATTACAGAAAGTTCACTACATCATTAGTTTTGAGTAGCACTCCTTTACTCCATAATAAAATAAAACAGTATCTTTATTTATAACATTTTTAAAAAGAAACAAATCTGTGAGGTAAGGATGTTGTGTCTAGGCAAACTGACTTCCGAGCAATAAATATGTAAAAAATAAGATTAAAATTAAGCCAAGCAATGAAAATTGAGCAATGGTTTTAAAAAATATGGTGGATGGTTGGAGAATGGGTGCAGGCCTGTCCAACCTTTTAATGCTACTAAGAATGTTGTCATCTACAAAGCTCATACTCAAGAACTATGCAATGGAATTACAAACCAAAAAATCTCATCCTGTTTTAAGTAAGTGCACGATTTTGTGTTGGGCCAAGCTGTCCATGGCTAAATATGGGTTGCTAGTTGGACACACCTACTTGGAATATGTCAATAGCTGCTAGGCATCTTTGAACATGCATCATTTTATAGGTTTAATTTCTGGACTTGCATAAATATTTTAAATATTTATGGACTAGAATCAATTTATATTCAAAATATAACGTCTAGGAGCTGGAGAAATGGCTCAGCAGTTAAGAGCACTGGCTGCTCTTGCAAAGGACCTGGCTTCCATTCCTAGCACCCACATGGTGGCTAACGACCATTGATAACACCAGTTCCAGAGTTCCAGAGAAATCTGATAACCTCTTCCGACCTCCATGGCATTGCATGGCCTGGGTGCACTTACATACATACAGCCAATACACTTACTTGTACACAAAAATAAGATGAAATTATAGAATATAATAAATGAAATAGTAAATAATATATTTTAGGAAACAATCTCTAAAATAAAAAATATAACAACATAAAACAAACTTAGTTTATTACATTTATTTATTTAGTGTGTGTGCGCGTGCGTGCATGCATGCGTGTGTGTGTGCGTGTGCGTGTGCGTGTGCATGTGTGTGTGTGTGTGTGTGTGTGTGTGTGTGTGTGTGTACAGCATACATGTAGAGGTCAGAGGGCAACTTTCAGCAATCTGTTCTTTCTTTCCACTATGCGGTCCTGGATTTCAAACTCAGGTCATCTGGATTTCCAACAAGCTTCATTACCCCCCGAGGCATCTTACCAGTCCCAAACAAACTTTTTTAAAATGTCAAAATAGGGACTGGAGAAGTGACTTGGTGATTAAGAGCACTGACTGCTCTCGTAGCGGGCTCAGGTTCGAGTCCCAGCATCCACATGGTGGCCAGCAACCATGTGTAGCTCCAGTTCCAAGGGATCCAATGCCTTTTTCTGGCCTCTGTAGACACTGTACACATATGGTGACTTGTATACATGCAAACGGAGCATTCATACACATAAAATAAAAATATGATGATATAAAAGTTTAATTGTAGTTTTCTATTTCTCCATAGGAGCAGCCTGTCTATTTCCTAACTTCTAGGTAGAAACTTGAAGTTGATGAAAATAATATTTAATAGCTGGATTCCAAATAAACATTTATAATTCTTGTCTAACCTCCTACACATGTACATTTAGTGTGTGATCATAAGAGACCCAGTTATAAATAAAGCCAGTTGATATAAGGGGTATTACTTACAGTCTTTTATTTCATTTCTCTAGGAAAATAAAAGAAAGTCTGGAGTGTTTCCCTGTTAAATTGAATAACCTGATCCACACACTTGCACAAATGTCAACCTTAAGCCCTGCCAAATCTGCCCCTCAGACTCTTCCCCAGGAATCCTGCCTCCTACATAAAACTAGGACCATTCAGAGTGCTACAATTTTAGGGTTCGGCAAGGCACGAAGCAACGTAAGTCTGTTCTCCTCAGACTATGCAGCACATCCTTCCTTAAAGCCTGCTTATTTTTTTACTATGCAAATGAAAAATCAGTTAAAGTTGGAGGGGAAGTGCCATTAAGAAGATGTTTTAAGAAAAAAAATTGTAACAACCAGAGCTATTAGTGGAAAGCCATCACAAGGAGCAGTTCCTGCCCTGTGGTAGAATATAAATCAAGAGCTAATTAAAATGCCTACAAGAAAGTATGACAGAAATTAGGCAGTTCATTGCCAGTACATAAAATTACGATATCTTGATATATTGTGTTTATAAGTAACGTTGACTTTACAAATTGCATCTCTTAGCTTTTGTGATTTTGTTTTTAATAGAAAATGGCTTTCTTTGCTTAATTTAACTAAAACCAGATTTTAGACTCTATGGCAAGGTGTGTTTCTGTCTTTTGACGTTTGCCTCTCTCCCCAGATGTACTTGATCCAGGTGATACACAGCAACAACAGGACAACCCTGACAGAAAGGTCCTTCGAGCAGTTTTCTAAACTGCACAACCAACTTCAGAAGCAGTTTGCGTCGCTGACTCTACCAGAGTAAGACTGTCTTTTCACCTTGTTTTGCCTTCAGAATTTGTCCTTGAGCCACAGGACCAAGAACAATCAAAAGATGGTCATGGGATGCTCTGTGTGGAAGCAACATGGACCTGCGGCCAGAGGAACTTTTCCTGGCACATCTCGTGCTGCTCTCAGGGCAAAGAAGGCAGAAGGAAGTTGGCAATTTCCTTTCCCTTCCAGCCATTGATTTTTCAGACAGGAGAAAAGAATATCAGAACGTTTTTCATTTTTCATCAGTTATTGGGAAAAATTGTTTTTATTGCTCTGTTTTAAAATGCAATCTTCTCAGTTGTTTTCTATAAAAATAGAACTGAATTGAAAGTGCAGGACAAAGTCAGACGTGCCTACTCTCTTAACAATAACTGAGATAAAAAGCTTTTATATATTGACCACACAACACACACACACACACACACACACACACACACACACACAGGGTTTCTGTTCCCTCCCCCGAAAAAGTAAGTGAAGTAACATCAATTGGTTTATTTAGAATTCATATTTGTTACCAATCCTTAGCTTTCTAACAACTAATTACTAACCTTGCATGATCTAAATTCAATTTATTTCATGTACATTTTCAAGCAATTGTAAAAATTGTGACCATTCATGTTAAAATGGAAAAGATTAAAGATAAGCCAACTATACATAACATGAAAATAACTATTGCTCATCTAATGTTCTAAAATTTATTTAAAATGATCCAAATATAGATCATGGATTTCAATGTATAACAGAATTGTATTTTAACTTTAAAAGGGTGATTTTTCCAGATATTATGATATTGGCAATTAGATAAATTAAACTATGTTTTTGTTCATCTACACCAGGGTTTTACTGTTAAGTAAATGGTCCTTTACCAATGTAAATGTCCACTCATAACCCAACATACTTTGTACATAATAGATTTTTACTTTGTCTTCGGTTTAGTTACCTTCCAAAATATAAATTTTTAGTTAACGAAGAAATACGCTATATTGAAAACTCACATTCATGGACAATTATATTTGCCGACCTCATGGACATTTTGAAACATGACTGCTGTCAGTACTCAAAAGTCAAGAAATTAGAGAGAAAGCAGTTCAAGGAAATGGAGGTATAGCTGTTCTAGAAACTTCTACACATCAGGATTTAGAACTATAAAAATAATATAAAATAGAATGAGAAAAAAATAAATGCGGGCAAAACACCTTCAAACTTTGGAGGCAAATGCGAGTTCACCATCAGAAGCAGGCTGGATCATGCCACGCTAATGAGTCACTTAGCGGTATAAATTAACCCTTATTAAAGGCCTGTCTTCTCTGGTGCCACTGTTTACCTCTCGGGAAGACAGGAAGAATTTCAGAAGCACAAACACATGTCTCCACCCACCTCTTCTCAGTTTCCAGCTGTAGTTAGGATTCTGCTCTGCACAGGACCAGTGCCTGGCAATGAACCAAAATTGATATTCAAAACATTCAAAGAACCCACGGAGGGAGAGACATTTTAGCCTTGTGTACCCTCGCTGCTGCGCTGGTGGGCTGGCGCTCCCAATGGGGCTGTGCGTTATGAATTGAAAGAAGCCTTCCTTTGACTCCTAAATTTACCGAGGGGATGCCGGGGGAGACATTTGTAAATCTGATCCGGAAAAATGATCAGAAAGTCTGGAAGAATAAAATTCTTATTAGTCATAGCCTGCAACAGAGGTCTCCAAACCAGGCTATTTGTATTTCTGGTGCCTTTCAGGAGTACACAGGCCTTGAAGTTTTCCTTAAACTCGGTGGCCTTCATTAAAATCACCTGCTGGAGGAGGCAGGACAGACTCCTTTCCCCTTCCCTCAGCACTGGTCTCCCAACCCCAGAATCTTGTTTTTGTACACTGACCCAGGATGTAAACACTACCCAGAACCAGGCCAAAATACACGGCAAAACACTGCAGTTCGTACTGAGAAAGGGAATTACTCTGATAACCAGAACAGCCCATTTTCAAGTCAGGATTTTTTACATTTTGTTTTACTTTGGGGGAGTTTTTTTGTTTTGATTTCATTTGTCATTTTGTTTCTTGCTTTTGGTTTTTTGTTGGGGGATTTTTTTTTTTTTGGTTTGTTTTATCCTGAGGACTAAATGTGATGAAAGAACAAGATGGCAGCGTTGGGTAAGACGTCATAAAAATAATTCCGAATGACTGATTGCCATGTGACATTTGGTACACAGGACGTCAAATGATTGGATGACATCACTATTGCCAAATCCTCAATTCTTATTGACATATTTATGCACAGGATTTTTCTTTATCTATAAAAACATTAACAAAGGAGTTGAATCGCTTTGTTCTACTAATATGGAAACATCACACGCACACATATGAAATCGTATTTAAAACTAGCCTAAGCTATTTGGCTATCAAAATCATTTCCAAAAATATTACCATATATATTTCTACATATGTGTGTATAATAATATATATTACACATGGTTTTCTACCTAATATATATTGGTACTAATTTTCATAACTAAGCTGAAATGAAAAAATCTTACTACTTTAATCCTTAGTTTGATATACTTTTTTAAAAAATTAAACATTACTATTTACTAGGCAATAATTTAAGTATATAGATATATCTATATCATACTTTACTCCCTGACCATTTCAACAAGAAGCATTGAGTAGGGTGGTCCTGCGTTATCATCCATTTCTGTATGAAAAGCTTTGCAACCCTTCTCCTTTGTTTGCCCAAGAAATGTAGTAGCCAGGCCATAGACTCTACTAAAAGGCAGAAGTATGGATAGGACACCAGTAAGCTTCTAGAAAGATATATTTAATCATAAAAACCCATACCAAATGAGACCATTTGTTCTTCTGACCCCACTACTGCCCTTTTAAGTACAACCTACCAAGATGGTCTTCGGGTAGATTAGAGGGAAGCCTACCGCTCAGAGTCTTGGAGACAGTGTTGCTTGGATTTGGAAAACTAAGACCAGATGGGAACAGATGCTACTTGTACAATGTTTACTTCATTTAGTGCAATAATGTCTGTCATGAGCCCAGAAGAAACAACACAATCAGAATTCTTTGAAGAAATTTAGATCATTAATTTCAGGGAGTATTTATAAGCCCCTTCATGTATTAGAAAAACAAAATTCATGGTCTGCCATAAATACAGTAATAGGGAACATATAGAATTAATTTGATGCTAAATTAAATTAGTATTAATGTTGATGGTTGTCAATGAAATGATCAGGATTAGTCATGTGCATCTTGGCATCCTCTAATGCTTTTATCAGCCCTTCATTTGGTGCAGCTGTTAACTCTATGGCCAATCCTGAAGAGGCCAATTTTCAAAATGACAGTGCTAACACATTTTTCTTTTAAAACAGATTCCCTCACTGGTGGCACTTACCTTTTACGAACTCGGATCATAAGCGATTCAGAGATCTAAATCGTTACATGGAACAGTTGCTAACTGGATCTTATGAAGTCGCAGAGGTATGTTACAACTTATTTTTACATTTTTACATGAACATCAATTATTTCCTGTATTGTTACTAGAGGCATTTTGAAGTATATCAACATCCTGTAGTTTACTTACTCAGTGAACATGAATACCTGGCATGTGTATAGTCCCTGAAATAAGGTCCAAAGCTCCAGCTTCAAATACCCTGGATGATGCAATGCAAACTGAATGCATCTCAGGCTTGGATGTTCTAGAGTGTCAGAGGAGCATGAATTTCTTCCAAATATAATTTTTAAAAGGATAGTATAGGTTGAAAGAGCAGATAGTATCTGAATTGGACCTTTAAATTGGGTGGGATTTAAGTTTCTTTGGAATAGTGTCTTGAATAGAACGGATGCGGTACAGAAGGTCAGGGGTGAAGGAAACCAGCAATGAATCCCATCAGGCTCCTGTAGAGTCTGTGACTAAGTACTGCAAACAAGGTGACTTGAAACAACAGGCATCTATTTTCTTTAAGTTCTGGAGCTCAGAAATCTGAAAGTGGGACTTGTGTAACTAAAATCAAGGTGTTGACAGGCCTGTTCTTTCTGGAATATTCTATCTTCTACAGGCTGCCTTCCTGCAATACAGTAGAATATTCTGAACCCAGCTTCTGCTATCAGACCTCCTTATCTGACTCTAACTCTGCCTTCCTGCCTCTATAAGAGCTCTTGTGATTACATTGGGAAAATATGTACTATATAAGACTGCTTTATCATCTCAACATCCTCCATTTAATGTTATCTGAAAAGGCTCCCCTGTTGTTTACAGTACCACTATATGAATTAGAGCATCTTGGGAGGGGGGAACAGACGTTATCCTGCAGCTCATAGGGATATACAGAAGAGTATAGAGATACAATTTCTTAAGATGCATTTATTTTCGATATTTTATTTATCATGTTTATGTATATGAGTGTATTTATTGCCTGCATGTATGCAAGTACACTACTGTGTCATGCGATGCACACAGAGGTTAGAAGAGGATATCAGATCCCCTGAAACTGAAGTTATGGACAGTAGTTAGCAGCCATGTGGGTGCTGGGAATGGAAACTGGGTCCTCTGCAAGAGTAGCCAGTGCTCTTAACTGCTGAGCAATCTCTCTAGACTCAAGATGTAAATGTTTTGAATCTCAATACAGAGAGGAAAGAGAGAGAGAGACAGAGACAGAGACAGAGAGACAGAGAGACAGATACAGAGACAGAATCACATTTTTCCAGGTACATTCATAGTTTGGCTAACAGTCATATGTGTCTCAACTATGGCAATGCCTGTATCTTTAAAATCCTATGTAATAAACATACAACCCAAAAAGCTTCCTTTCGGCTTTTGTTTTTGTGACTCAATACACGCACATTATTTTATTTGCATCATTTTGTATTTTTCTCTTTAATCATGACTTAAAAGTAACACACACTTTATTTTATATCTAGAACACAACCATGGCCTTTTACTTGGGATGCTTAACTGTCTACATAGACCCAGCTCTGGTTTCTCACAAGTATTTTCCTTTTGATATACTGGATATATTTGATTTCTTTCTCCTTTCTTCCACTCTTAAAATCCATTGTTGATAATTCACTTCTGTCCTAAATAGCCTCAGAATCACATGCTGTTTTGCTCTGGGGGTTACTGCACAGATTAAAGCGTACATTCCTGAAGTTTTAAGTTAAATAATGAATTCGTACTTTGTCCATGCCCCAATGAGGTGACACTCTTAGAACAGCCTATTTAACTCTTCTGTATCTTATATACTAATATACAAACCTCTTTTTCGTCTGATTTCAAGGTTTTCTTTTGCATTTGGCTTTACATGCTTTTAGCATGTTTTCAGATGTGGTGCTGTTTCTCTTTATCAGGTTCAGGCTTTAGGCCATCTTGTATTTGCGCTAGCAGGATGATTATTCTCTATTTTGTTGGCTCTCTGTTCCTTTGAAGCCGTATTTTAAAATCAGTATCTAACTCTTTTGCTTATTCTCTGGGGAATATTTAGACTAAGTGATGTCACCCACTACCATCAAAACTGAGAGCCTAGAACTGCGGTCATCCTCCAGTTACACAGTTTCAGAAAAGTCTGCCCGTTTGCCCTGTCCTCTCCCACAGATACTGCACTGCAGTTCATTTACTGCCCAAAAAGCTTTTAAAGACTGTTTTTTTTTTTTTTTCTTGCTGAGCTACTTAGTACTATCCACCACTAGTTCTGAGGGTAGAAAGGAAAATTCCATAGAAATGTTGGACTCAGATTTCGTCCTTCTTATATACAGATCAAGCCAGGGCTTGTAAGATACACGCATAAATGTTCACACACACATACAGTAAACACACATACACATATGAACTCACATACACACACACACAAACTATACATACAGGAAGCTAATATAGTTCCTGATACTTAAAGAATCTCTCGTGTTCTTTCCTGTTAGGTAGTTTAACAGTATAACATGGAACATTCCTGTGAGAATGTCCAGAAGCAGACACCAAGCTAACAGAGTCCTCTTAGACACAGTATTTAGCTATTTATCTAGGTCACCATCCTTAGGGGTAAAGAGTACAGGGTCTCTTGGGTGTTCCACCTTTTGAGGCAGGAATGGAGAGCATCAGAATATTTTTAGCTAAACCACATACCTAGACAAAGGTGAATGTCTCCAATGAGCCCACTTCAAATAATAATTATACTAGCCAAGAGTTAACAAACCAACAATTTTTTAGACAGGATCTCATTATGTAACTAGTTTATCCTTAAATCCATAACCCCCCTGCCTCTGCTTCCCAAGTGCATGTGCCACCATGCCTGACCAACAAGACAACACTTTTTTATAAGAAGAAAATCTGTCCTGATATTCAATATGCTGATGAATATAGCACCCACTGCTGATTGGTTTGTGAGTAAATGACAGAAGCCAGAGTAGTGACTCCCTCCAGAATGGGCCTGCTGATTAGAATCCCAAGAAGCCCCTTCTTCCTCCTTCCCATCCCACTGCCCCCAACTGCACAGCTCTGATTAGGACAGTGATGGGCCATTCTTCACCTCTACGGTCCTGGCTGAATTCCAGGAGCACCCGTGTTGTAACTTGACTTGAGAAGTACAGGGATGACCTGTCACAAATGCTGACATACCAGAGTGGATCACAAGCATTGCGGCAGCAAGACAATTCACCCTGTTGTGTGAACTTTTCCTGCAGAGACGTGAACAAACATCTGCTCACCCTAGACAGGGTTCCAACAACAGACCAAAGTAACGAGTCCACCAACTTTGCAACCAGTGAGTTCATGCTCTGTAGCCTTACTTACAGAGCAGAGGTAATAGCTTATTTACAGGAACTTGGGTGACCCCAAAGAAGGCACACCACTGAAAAGTCTCTCTCCAGCGTGGGTGAGAACTACCCCACAGACGGAGTCCCCTCTTCAGTTAACATCCTACACTTTATATACTGTAGCACCTCCTGAGACCATGCAAAGCTGGGTCGGAATCACATACAAATGGCAAGGAAGAACAGGAAAGAGTGGCTGAGTAGGGTTAGGAGCTAATGACCCTGCCCACCCCATCCTTCTGTGAGAGAATGTCACCGTGGCAGTGAAATGCTGTGTTACAGTAATGCCTGAACAAAAACAGCCTGACTCTTAGCCCCCATTAAAATTAAGAGTGATGCCTAAACTCTTCTGAGAACTTGTTCCTTCAGATTTCTCCCAGTGCTTCCAAACAAAAGCCCTGTTTTCTCTTTATTGAAACTGTACATCCAGCATGAAATGGGGAAGGAAAAGCAGAACTTGTCTTATCAGAGAAGTATTTCCCCTTACTGAGTCCTACTCACCTAGACCAGTATACACAACCCCAAATACATGTAATCAATCTAATTCTACCTGTTATTTGTAACACAGATGAGATTATTCATGCTTACAATGATATTTTCTGTTGCTTACAACACTTTGATATTTTCACAACACACACGCACACACACACACACACACACACACATTATTTCTAGATCAAGGACAAAGAAAGGTCATAAGGAGTTAAACCTATATGTTCAGCTTACAAGAGGAACCCAAGACCTGTAAGCTTGTTTACATTATAAACAATCTGAGACAGTGTTAAATGATCTCAAAGCATAAGATTAACTTAGGTTACAAATCCCATTGGTAAGAGAAGACATTCTCAGAAGTCATTCCCACATGTCACCATGCCTAACTTGGAAGGTCTCTTTAAAGTAATCACAGCTGCTCTGATGACGATGATGATGACTGTGCTCAGAGGACAATCCCAATGTGAGAGTTTATTGTTTTATTACTTTTACTTAGTGCACATTAGTTAGGACGTTTTCATACATTTATTGCATTGTACTCTGCTTGTGATCACCTCCCCAGTTGCCCTCCTTTAGCATCTCCCCTAACTTGTCCCTTTTAACCTGTGTGTGTATGCAAATCTAAGTTCTGCATCAGATAAAAACGTGATATTGATCATTCTTCCCCTTCCATTACCCTAATGTGTTCATTCCTCCACTCCCTTTAGGCCCCTAGATTCTGTCACATAACCCCTTTTCTAGAAAGTTCCCTTCCTATATATGGATTCTGGGGGCTGGAGAGACAGCTCAGTGGTTAAGAGCACTGGCTGCTCTTCCAAATGACCTGGGTTCAATTCCCAACACCCACATGGTGGCTAACAGTCACCCATTACTCCAGTTCCAGGGGATCTGAAACTTTCTTCTGGCCTCCACAGGTTTGCACACATGTGGTACACCTGCAAACATGCAGGCAGAATAATTATACATGTGAAAAAATAAAATATTTTAACATATGGATTCTGTATAGGATAGAGTATGCCATAATTCTCAGTCCAAATTTACCTTATTTTGTTTAATATGATGGTCTCCAGTCCCATCCATTTTCCTGCAAATAACATCATTTCATTCATCTTCACTAATGAATAAAACTCCACTACGTGTGTATAACACATTTTTATTCATTCACTTATTGGTAGACACCTAAGCCA